TACACGCACAAAAAAATGCAGCACTTGAAAAAGACACTCACTCACACACCACCAATGTAGTGTCAGATGGTCCTGGTTTTCAGATAACTTATATCACTGGATTCTTGCATCTATCTTGAGCTGAAGTATTGTTCTGTCGTGATACATACAAGTAAATGAAAAGATTTATTAAGCTGACTGAGTTCGCCATTTCTCTCCGAAAAATAATGGTAAAAGTCCGGTATGAGAAGTGTATAACAGGCACCAAAATAATGGCATTACATAGTCAGTATAAAATTTTGCTGTCCATTGAGTTTGGTGAAAATTCCGTCCATCTTTAGCTACGTGACCAACACTTCTTCATAATTGTTAAATGGTAATTGAAATACATGTAGTACTAATGGTTCTAGTTATACCTGCAGTACGTAAACTGATAAAAAAAATATGCATACATGTTGCTGGAGAACTTTAGATTTATTTATCAAGTTGTGGTTGATATCTGAAGATTTTAAAGTTATATTATTGTACGTCTCAAGTGTTTTATACTAAACGTCTTCCGGATATCTTTATGAAACAATTTGACCTCCGGAGCTTTCCTCACTAGCCCTTAACACCCCCGGGATTTCAGTCACTAGCCCCTTTAGCACCCTTCGGGCCTCCTTCACTAGCCCCTAACACCTTTGGGGCCTCCCTCACTAGCCCCTAACACCCCTGGGGCCTCCCTCACTTGCCTCTAACACTCTTGGGGCCTCCCTCACATGTTCCGCCTCTATTCCCCCTACATGTGTTGCAACTGTTTTCGTATCATCGTTATTAGCAACAATACCAGTACATTTATTACCATTACATTTATCTATAACATGGACACGCCCAAATAATCCTTTAGATTTAGAAGATAAAACTAATTAACAGAATGTTTCAAACCAAAACCTAGGGTGTGGTTAGGTTAACTTAGGCTTGGTAAAATAAAGGTTTAATTAGGGTAGGTTAAGTTAATCTAAGATGGGCCAAGTTAGGTGAAGTTCGGTTCTGGGTCTTGTGATTATTGAGTCTCTTACTTAGCACCAGAATATAGATCATCATTAATAGATATATAATAAATCCTATACATCAATATATTAGTAATTCTATAGAACTCTGAGGCTATAAGCAATACGTCATGTAAACAGTAATAAATTGTTATAGGTAGTGAATTTATGAGAATGATAAATTATATTATGGCAATAAACTTTTGTTTTAATATTAATGAATTAAATTTTTTTTCTCATCTATTTTTCTCTTCATTTACTCTTCCCTATTCCTCGTTCTCTCCCTGCGTATCTTTCTTCTTTATCGCTTTCTTTCTCTCTCTCTCTCCATTACCTTGGTTTAACACCTTCTCCAGCGCTGTATTTAATTTTAAGTAGGTTAGGTTCCCTTTTTTTTTATTCACAGGGCCGGTATATCAGGTGCTCAATGGTGTTGGTATGAAGTGATAATACTAATAAGCCAAATTATTTAACGCCGTAGTATTTGTATCTCGGGATGTAAAGAACGTCCCTGCAGTGTTAAAGTAACACACACACACACACACACACACACACACACACACACACACACACACACACACACGTAGAAAGTATTGTTACCTCCAAAATGCCACTATGATGTATATATTCTACAGTTGCATAAGTTGATAAGCATTTTATGAACTCTGCCTAGATCCCCTGTTCATATATTTTACCAAGAGTAAGGATATGTATGACAATATGGAGTTGACCCTTCTTCCTGTCTATGTGTAAAAATATCTTCAATGTGAACAACAGTTTTATGATACTAATGTAGTGATGGAAATAAGCAAGATGTGAAACTCAAAGAAAAAAAAGTAGTTTACTCAACAATTTTGGTCTTCTGCATAGATACCAATTACATTTTGTGGTCGATGTAGTATACTGAAAATTGGAGAGTGAAACAGTTACGTGAATGTTGTATATTTTCAATTAAGTTCATTGGCATTTCAACTTCGTTTGGTTCTGGTTCAAGAAAACCTCTGCTATACCTATGTTTCCCACATTTATAATTATCAGCCCCCCCCCCCCAAAAGTCTAATATACAGTAACCTTTATGGAGGGGGGGTTGCCTGTCACGCATAACCTATGGTAGTCCGTATCTGAACAACGCCCAATGGTGTCATGTGGTCGTTTTAGATGAAGGCTGTAAACGGTATTGTTGTTAACCAGAACTCTCTAAATATTAACTTCATCTGTTCCCCTTGTACTTGTGACTCAAGAGGAATGTCATGACTTCGAATACTTTTCTCTTCAGCCTTTCTCTCTGATGTTTTGTAAACTAAATATTTTATCAATAATAACTGAAACATCATGGTAGTTTAAACTCACTGTTACTAAGATATTAACCATTTTTGCATTACTAAGTTTTTTGTGGACTCAGAAAGCCGTTTGTTTTGTATTATGTAAATAACATTTGTCATTTTATCTGCTGCAGTTGTGGGCCTTAAGAAAAAGAATCCTTAATTTAAGTGTACGATTTGACATTCCCTTACTTTGGGTAATACGTTAATTACCGATGATCTGTAGTCTATGTGAAACCAAGTGCCATTCGCTTACTAGTATAGAGTGACCCCCTATTAATCAATTTTGAGATGGGTGTAGCAAAGAGGGGCGAATGGTTACTGACATATGAGAGAATTTGTCTTTTGCCAATACGACTGTTTGAGTTTGATTTTTATGTTATATAGAAGATGACTTGGTGCTACCTGTGAATTATATATAACTTGAATGAGTGTCGCCTCATGGATAGTATGGGTGGTTAAGTATAGTGTGGAGAGGAGTTTCAACCATTGGGAGGGGCGAGGCTGTAACTCCAGAAGAAGGGATGGCTTTAGTCACATACTGTGGGGATGGCTCTGTATCCCTGTAAACAAGTTTATTTATATATTATGGTTAACTAGTCCCTGTAAATAGACTACAAAACTCTATTGCAAATATATACACTCTGTGCATAATTTACAGTGATATTGTAAGCACATATTTTATAAACTATTTCATATATATGTATATCAATATATAAATGCTTTTAAATGCTTAGGTTAGGTTCATTCGTCTTATTTACAAGATTTCTTCCTTCTAGTAGATTTAAAAGAAGGTTATAGGTGCTCAAGCAGTCAGTATCCCGTAGCTGACTTGAATAAAATGCTTGACAGCACACGCTTGCACACTGCCCTTATTGGCTTCAGTAGTTCTTGACTCGGTATAGAAGTGAAAATTCTAAATTACATGATACAATATTTCTAGGTTACCAATTGTTCACTTCTAAAACGACAAAAAGCTAAATATTCAACATTTTTGAGGATTTTTTTCTATTTTGTGATAATTTATCTAATTTAGTTTTTTATTTTAAGCTTTGTTTGGATTTCTATGTATCCATATTGTTCACATATCCAGAAGACTGAATATTTAAAATATAATGTTAATGATGGCGGTGGAGATATTGTAATTATCCGTAGACAATAATGATGTACTTTCGGGACGCATCCTGTCTCCATAATACAATCGCCAGTCTACTATTGCTCGAAATTTTTGCAGGTTATCATTTACTTATTATTATTTTGGATGTCATTGAATAACATCACACGCTCACTGTAATTTATTATCTATACATCTTGATCGCCTTAGTACTGTGGTCTCTTTTTTTTTCAATCATATACAGTACTTATGATTTAGATTTATTCTTTTATCTTAATATGTTGTAAGCGTCCTGATCTTTTTCAGAAATCCGAAACACGAACACGTCAGGGAGATTACGTTTTATATCCTCCACTTTAAGGAAACATAAAAAACACACATGCACACACCCATCATGGCACAATTTCCTCAACTAGAATAGAAACTTTCCACTCTACAGAGGGTACGACCGTTCCTTTTATGCTAGGGGAGTCGCATTTCACCCGCGACCCTCAACGTCCTCTATGGCACAATCAACTTCCCAGCCGGCAGTGACCATCTTAGTCACTCATTATCCCTAGCACCTGGGAACTGTCGTCTTTTCCTTAGCTTAACATTATCTGATTGGTATGAGAATTTGGTCTTACCCAGACCCTGCTGATGCCTGCGTTGATGGCCTGGGCTGTGGTTTGTCCCTCAGTGGTTGCTGGGTCCCGTTGACTTTTCCCCAGCCCAAAAAATATCTACTTGCTGGGGGACAGTGGTCGGTTTCTCAAACTATTAGTCACTAGTTGCTGAGGACTGCGACATCCTCCTCAGCCCGATAGCACCTGGTCGCTCGGGAGTGTGGGCTAAGGCTCATTGTTTACTTGTTATGAACGCCTCCGCTATCCAAGTGGCTCCTAGCTAAGGGTGGTTTGGACCACTTGGTTCAGCTTGACGGTTCGTGGGCGCTGGGATCTGTGGCTAGTTGCTCTCATTTTGACGGTGACTGGAGTCTTTGGCCTCCAGCACTTGGTCCAACAGGTACTGGGGGCCGTCGGCATCTGCCTCAAGTCAGACGGTTGGTGAGATTTATGGCCACCTTCCCCCAGGCCAACGGTTGTTCGTTGCTGAGGACAGTGGCCACTTGAGCCCACTCCAACGATTACTGGTAACTGGAGACTGTGGCCATCTACCCCCAGTGCACCGGTTTCCAGCTGTTGAGGACAGTGGCCACCTGAGCCCAGTCCAACGATTTCTGGTAGCTGGAGACTGTGGCCACCTGCCACCAGTGCACCGGTTTCCAGCTGTTGAGGACAGTGGCCACCTGAGCCCAGTCCAACGATTACTGGTAGCTGGAGACTGTGGCCATCTACCCCCAGTGCACCGGTTTCCAGCTGTTGAGGACAGTGGCCACCTGAGCCCACTCCAACGATTTCTGGTAACTGGAGACTGTGGCCACCTGAGCCCACTCCAACGATTTCTGGTAGCTGGAGACTGTGGCCATCTACCCCCAGTGTACCGGTTTCCAGCTGTTGAGGACAGTGGCCACCTGAGCCCACTCCAACGATTACTGGTAACTGGAGACTGTGGCCACCTGCCACCAGTGCACCGGTTTCCAGCTGTTGAGTACAGTGGCCACCTGAGCCCAGTCCAACGATTACTGGTAGCTGGAGACTGTGGCCATCTACTCCCATTGTACCGGTTTCCAGCTGTTGAATACAGTGGCCACCTGAGCCCAGTCCAACGATTACTGGTAGCTGGAGACTGTGGCCATCTACTCCCACTGTACCGGTTTCCAGCTGTTGAGTACAGTGGCCACCTGAGCCCAGTCCAACGGTTACTGGTAGCTGGAGACTGTGGCCACCTGTCACCAGTCCAACGGCTGCTGGGTTCTGGCGTCTGCGTCAAACTGTCCTCAGTCCAAAGGCTGGTGGGTGCTGGGGGCGGCTTCGCTACGTCCTGTAGTTTACGCCAACCTGTGGAAACAGATAACATAGTTTATATCCTGGAGACACGGAACCACCAAGCTGGATAAATTGTCTTATTTTTTCACTAAATGTCAAAATACCAGTAAGGGATATTTTGAAGTATAACGACCCACTTAACAAATAACTGTACATACAACACTGAAGAGAGATAAATTGTGAATGACACTTAGAACACACAAAACTAATGAAAAATAACTGGTCATAAGAATTCATGAGAAAAATACCAGTATGTCACAGTATTTATGGAAATTGATGTGCTAGTTACATATATCTTTGCTTAAGCACTCCAGTCACTTATTTACTATAATATATTCACGGACTTTCCCAAACGAAGATACATTTGAATTTTAAGCATGCTTTTATTTTAGTGCAGAAATATAATAATAATAATCAATGTTCAAGGGGACTCTTTATCCGCTTCTCTTTTCTTTTATTATTTTTTATTTATTCATTTATCTATTTTTATAATTATTTAGAGTGTACATGAGTTCAATATATATTTAAACATATTTCATCACTCAAGACTACATATCCGTTTGAAGGTGTCGTGTGGCCAGGACTGTAAGGCTATACAACACATTATTGACAAAGATAAAGATAGGTACACAAATTTTATAACTCACAGGTACACAAATTGTATATCTCAGTTGCTCAGATTTTATAACTCACAGGTACACCAATTTTATAACTCAGGTATATAAATTTTATAGCACAGGTACACCAATTTTATTACTCAGGTATATAAATTTTATAGCACAGGTACACCAATTTTATAACTCAGGTAAATAAATTTTATAGCACAGGTACACCAATTTTATAAGTCCGTCTTAACGCGACTCATGAGTTATTATGTTATTGTTTGTCAGTTCAATGATCATTTAGCTCTTTCCTGCTCCATCTTTGGGGTCGTGTCGTGCAATGACCGTAGTACTGTAGTTTGGATACTGTATACGAGGGTGAGTGTGGCCTATGGTTTCTTGTGTTGATCACGGAAGGAAAATCGCTTGAATCCCTTTATCTTTCACGTTGCTTCATAGTAAGTCATTAGACATAGTAGAATGGCATAGTGTAACATAGTGGGTCATTAGGCATAGTAGAATGGCATACTGTAATTGGGGACATAAACGATATTAAGATAAACTTTACTAATTGGCAGATAGATCAAACACTATTTGTCCATGTCATGTCTCATTCTATCTTTTACTGTTCTATATGTAAGTGAATGCAGTATTTATATATTTTTATACGTATATATATATTCGGGATTGGATTAATACCTAGTCATCTTTTTCCTTTTATGAAATCAGTTCCTTCTGAAAATATTGATATCAAATTTGAACGCTATATTGGCATTACCGAATATCATGTATTTGATTTATTACGAAATTTTAGTCTTTTCTTATATCTTCTATACATGAATTGTGGCCCAATTGTCCTAACAATATCAGAGAAAATCCTTCTATCATTCATAATAAACTAACTTCATACATTCTCTGTGGTTATATTCCATTTTTTGTTTGGATATGACTTAAAATTCCTCTCATTTAAATCGCTAATCCTCCATAATCAACCAATTACACTAGCAGCAGTTTAATCAAGAAAATAATCCTAGATAATGAGAGAGACGTTGTGCTGGGATAACGCAGTGGAGAAAATACGAACAGGAATCTCTCTGGTCCTTGGTTTTATTGACGGTCACTAAGAGGTAGATACGTACAAGATGGTCTGAATAAAAGGTAGAAGTTTCAAATGTTTCTTCCTAAAATATCGTGTATTGTTCACCTGTGTTTAAAGACAAGATTTAGGCATTACATGGCAGGTGTGGTGCCATGACAGATGTAGTGTCATGACAGATGTAGTGTCATGACATGCAGTGTCATGACATGCAGTGTCATGACAGGTGTGGTTCAATGACAGGTGTGGTGCCATGACAGATGTAGTGTCATGACAGACAGATACAGTGTCATGACAGGTGTGGTGCCATGACAGGTGTGGTGCTATGACAGATGTAGTGTTATGACAGGTGTGGTGCTTTGACAGGTGTGGTGCAATGACGTGTGGTGCCATGACAGGTGTGGTGCCATGACAGATGTAGTGTCATGCCAGATGCAGTGTCATGACAGATGTGTTATGACAGGTGTGGTGCCATGACATGTGTAGTGCCATGACAGATGTGGTGTTATGACAGATGTAGTGTCATGACAGGTGTTGTGCCATGTCAGGTGTAGTGCCATGATTGGTGTGGTGCCATGACAGGTGTGGTGCCATGGCAGGTGTAGTGACATGACAGGTGTAGTGCCATGACAGGTGTTTTGCCTTGACAGGTTTGGTGCCATGACAGGTGTGGTGCCATGACAGGTGTAGTGCCATGACAGATGTGGTGCCATGACATGGGTGGTGCCATGACAGGTGTGATGCCTAGACAGGTGTAGTGCTATGACAGGGGTGGTGCCATGACAGGTATAGTGCCATGACAGGTTTAGTGCCCTGACAGGTGTTTTGCCATGACAGGTGTGGTACCATGAAAGGTGTAGTGTCCTGACAGGTGTGGTGCCATGATAGGGGTGGTGCCATGACAGGTGTGGTGTGGACACGACAACAACAGACCTACCCGGCATGAGTTCTCGGGACTCAGCAGTTTTGGGCAGCCGCCATCTTAGAAAATGAATAAGAACATAGTTGAAAATGTTTGAAAGTTCTTTAATACGATGAACATAAATATAGGGATGAGTGTCCGGATTATGAGAATGATGAAGAAAATAGATAATGTCATTGATGCCATCCACGTAAGTTAACCAGGGGAGTTGTGAGAAACTTTGCCTTTTAGTGTATGGTTATTGTTAATCTCGAAATATTTTCTATTGATCATAAGTTTTTGAGAAGTAGACGTATGGGACAGAAGGTGTAAGTGCCAACTGTTCCCAATATGTATGAAAATCACCTGCACCTGTCACAAAAAGTGAATCTAAACAATCTAAGAAATTTCAGAGCAAAAATGGAGGGCCAGTGAGTGTAGCTGTAGCAGGAAACTGTTTTTCTTCAAAACGACAAAGTCACCATCGTTAGCAAAATTCATCCAAACACTTGAAGTCGTTACGTTTCTTTTCCCATACTCCTACGGGAATTGGATTGAAATTTGACCTTGAAAGGTCCATGAAATGCTGCTGATGGAATTGTGAGTACTGTTCTTTATCATGAGCAACGCGTTCTCTCAAGGCCTTATCCGAAGACTCTGGCATGACTTCAGCTACCAAGGCCACACTCTTGATTGCTTTTGTTATTATAGGGATGTCCCGGGTATGCACACTTAACCAACGAGCGTAGTGTATGTAATGCAGTGCAAAGAAGAAAGAGATGAATTGTTCCAAAGCCTTGATATACACACTGAAGTATCCTCCCCCTTGGATGCACAGACAAATACAGGATATACAGTAGTGTATCCTCTCGCATTACAAGATCACAAAAATAAAATGTTGGAGACTTTTCATTCGATATTGATAAACAAGCTTCCTCGTCGTTCACAAATATTGCAGTGTTTTCTAAAACTTTCTTTCTAAAGTTTCAGAGAGCATCAACCGTCACCTGATGGCAGTAACGGCTCTTGTCAACTCTCAGGATCAACGTATTTGATACCTTTCATTTTTTTCTCCAGACAGTGCTTGACCACTGAAGCGAGTACGGTATACCTTCTCGTAAAACAATAGAAGAACAACTTTACTTGATGGATGCTTTCCTTCACTGCCGTCTACATTTCTTAAACGTCATTTCGTTGTATGTTCCTTGAACTTTAATAGAAAAGACACTAGTTGTACTTCTTGTGTAATGTAAACTGATTTTGAAGCCAACATTAACCTTGTAGACTTTCTGAGGTTTAATTTAAATTATTTCCCGCATTTAGTTTTGGACCTGTAGTTGACCTTCAGTCTGACCTTGAAATATTTGCCTTTAAGTTTTTTTACTGCCCTATGCTACACATGTACTAAGTTTCATGTTTTTCAACAATGTTGCCTTCAAATATGCAGATTTTCTCCAACCAAACAACATTAATAGTAATTTTACTTTGAAAATGCTTCCAATTTTTTTTTCTAGTCAGAATCCCCAAGGAAAATATAGTCCTTTACCACCCTCCTTTATCATCACCCAAATACATGCTTCAACACTGTTTACTCACATGCCTTTCAATCTTATTGTAACTTTTCGGATCTTCAAAACTTTCTGGATCTTTGCTACATCCAAATTTTTTAAACGTCCGGATCTTTGAAACTTCAAGATCTTCAAAACTTTCCATATCTTTGAAACTCAGGATCTTTGATACATTCTGGATCTTCTAAACTTTTCGGATTCTTTCGGGATCTTTTAAACTTTCCGAATCTTTGAAACTTTCTAAACACCCAGACGGCCGAAATCAAAGCCATCACTAGTTATTCTGGCACAGTAATAGTAATTCCCCCATTATCTCCTGTAGGAAAATTTTGACAATTATTTTAGTATAAAATGTAAATGTATTTCAACAGCCGAGGTCTTTAAGCACATAATATAAGATCACTTTATAAGATAAGTATATTTTGAATCCTTGCTAACCAAACCATATATTTTACATAAACCTTATTAGTAATGTGAAAATAATCGTACAGAGACATCTCAAATAATAATAATGAAAAAGTATATATTTACCTGTGTAAGCCGGGATTCGAACATGGACCACCATAATCGGCAATCGGGCAACTATCCACGGGAGGAGTAGCTTTTTAGCCTATTGTGGTCCAGTGGATAGTTACTTGATTGCCAAATTTGGTGGTTCATGTTCGAATCCCAGTACAATCAGGTGAGAATTGCTTACATCTAGAATAATGAAGGAAGGAGGCCTATATCTCTCTAGTGATAAAGTATTATGTTTCTGATAATTTCTACTGTATTGTTCATAATAATGACAGCTATTTTATTCTCGACCAAATACAAACCGGGGTCTTGACACGCTCACTCATTCTTTTAAGACGGTTTAGCAGTCGTCATATTACATAATTCAGCTTAATTCTAACACAAAATGATTATATGCGAATACTGTTTTTCGATCAATTGATTTTATTCGTAAATTAGATACACATGCCAAGTTAAGTTTTCTTGTTTGTGATTTACTGCCGGTGATGTTGGGGAGGAATGCAGCAGAGGATTATTTTCAAATAAAAAGTTAAGAAGTGAAATTTATGCTCCAAGTGTATTGAAGTACTGTATATTCTTTATGTAGTTGTTATTATTATTATTATTATTATTATTATTATTATTATTATTATTATTATTATAATTATTATTATTATTATTTATTTTTGTATTTTATTATTATTATTATTAAGGAAACTGTATAAAAGGTATTTTCCTTATGACACAGTACACCCAGTCAGTAGGGAAGACTGAGCTCACTGCCACGGTAGAGTGTGGTTGGCAATGGCAGTCAGGGTGACACTACCTATTGTGAGTGTCATGCTTGTGCTGTGCCACGGGGTTGTGATCTGAATAACAAACACTTAATAGGATATATCTGTTTATTTGATTATAAAAGAAGTTAATTGAAGAAGACAAAGAACGAAAACTAAAGATGAAGAAAAGAGATGAAAAAGAAAACAATATAATGAAAAGATCCTTAGACATTTATTTTATAACTTTTAGTGTATATATGTAAATTAAACTCAATAATCCATTAACCAGATTGCATCCAAAAATTAATATAATGAACACTTTTATATACCTGACTCCTGCGGGGATTCTGGAGCCTCACACCTAGATGAACAATAAATACGAAAAGTAATACATGACAAAACCTGAATGAATTATATTGTTATTCAGATACATAAACATAGTGAAAGAATATATATATATATATATATATATATATATATATATATATATATATATATATATATATATATATATATATATATATATATATAAAATCATTAGCATATAAGATGGTGAATAATTTATATCTACTTATGCATCTAAAGACGAAATTGTATATACCATGAATGTTCATGTTTCTTTATATTAGATTCCAACCTAAAGTATATCTGCACTGGTCATAGGAATTATACTCTAAGTTAAATACACTAAATCCATATTGTGAAGCAGTCTAGATTGGGATCATTGTAAGTCACTGGTCACTTTAGTAGCCATATTGTCTTGTGTACTTCTAGTAAAAGTAATATTCGTCGTTAAGCTTGTGGTATACCTTTTATTCTCTCTGCGTGTGATAAATTAAAGGTAAGATATAGGCATAAAGTGACTTATCCTATGAATAGATATCTTTTCTCTTTGCACATGTCTTGTGTTAACGAAGATAGTCTGTGTCTGGAGGATTTATAGTTACGGTGGTATTGGTACAGTCGCAGACAAAACTTCATAGACTCCGATCTGGAGTAATATGGATACTGGAAATCTGGATTTTTGAGTCTGAAGCTTTATAAACAAGTTTCTCTGTTAACTAACATACACACACACACACACACACACACACACACACACACACACACACACACACACACACACACACACACACACACTAAAAACTACTCAGAGAAGCACGCCATTTGTTGGCAAATAGAGGAATTTGTTTATGAAGAACCAAACTCAAAAGCCGAGAGATTCAGTGTCCATATACCTCCAGATGGGAGTTTACGATCTTTTGTCTACGACTGTACATAACTTGTACAGAACTTGAAGAACGACACTTGCTTCTGTGATCAGCTTATCATAAACTTTACAGATAATCTCTTCAGGGTAACAATACTTACTTACATGCATAACTGGGGCTAGGGCGGATAACTTGACGAAAGCCTTTGCCTAGAAATACGATACTGTACATACTTACTTGTACAACTCGCCCATGTTTCAGGAGACAGAGTTTACTTTTATAGATGATCTGTATATGGTGAAACGTCACAGAATTTTGATCATGATTTCTGTACTAAGAGTTGGTATACCTACTATTATGCACGGCTAATGATTAGGTACATGAGTCACATGATATAATATACTTTTACACGTGGAGTGTGATTGAAAATGTAACACTTACTATAATAACACAAAACAAAACATTAGCAACAACAACATCAAGTAAGTGACTATCAAATCATACCAGGACGAACTCAGAGAATGGTCATTCAGGTGAGTGAGAATCTTTTTTTTTTTTTTTTACATTAGAGACTTTGACCTAATATATCAGAATGACAAATTACCAGAAGAATAAACTGATAAAACCATGAGATTCTTTTGGAGATTTTGGAAGAATGTCAAGTGGTCGGTGGCTCCTCGCCCAATTCATTGTGATCTAAACCAATCTTAAATTAATCCTGGCTTACTTTAGTCCTGCTTAAGTGAGGGCATACTCTCCTTCATCAAAGAGTGGTCTCCCTGCAAGAGAGAGAAATAACAGATATTCACAAGAAAAAACAAAACAAGGCGGATTTATTGCACTAACACTATACTTGGGCAGCGAGGGTGGGATAACACAGTTGCTACTAAGATACTTCCAGAGAGGGTATAACATCGAAGGGGAACTAAGTACAACTGAGACATAAGAGCTTAACAAGAAGAAAAAACTCACAAACATCTAATTTATACATCTTGACATATACAACTTAGGGACAAACGACATTACACATATATTGGCTTTTCTACTGACACCCTTGGTAACAAAACAGGACTTGCTAGCAACGGATGGTGCAAGTGAGAAAGATACACCCACCAAAAAAAAGTCCTGTCAGTCATCTCTCCCATCCATGAACCTTGAGACTCATGAACCTGTGAATCTGAGACATCACACAGAGTTGGGCCTATAGATGGTGCACTGTGTGATGTCTCGGATTCACAGGTTCATGAGTCTCAAGGTTCATGGATGGGAGAGATGACTGACAGGCCTTTTTTTTGGTGGGTGTACATGTCAACGTGAGGTATACACAGTAGCTGAAATAAAGGATTAGTTATGCAACGACATGTAAAAGATGTGTGACAGGCAACATTTGAGAGGACTAACCATGTTTATAATACAGATTGGACACAAAGTTCTGTTCTGGGTTTATAATTAATTTCAACAAAACCGAAAGAGAGACAATCATGCTGTTCTTTTTTTTTTCGTCTTGTCGCTTAACAGTTTGTAATTTAAGTGTCCAGTTGCTAACGATAGAAGCTTGGATGAAGATGATTAATATACAGTCGAGATTAATAACAATATGGTAAGGTTTCTCCCTCCACACCCAGCATTAGGAGGCAGTTCATATGCTTCGGGAGACAAGAAGGGTGGTTAACTTGCCTGGAAGTGGAAGCCCAGGTGCTTCTGAAGAAACTGTTGATTATGTTCAAGAGACAGTTCAACGCATCTCTATAAAGTGCAAATAGTCCAAGCTTTATAACCTAATGACAAGCCTCAGCGTTATGAACTTGTGTGTTCCATGTTGAACTAGATCGATAGCGACAACGAGTACCTATAGATGGTTTTCTTCTCTAATGTGTCTGGACGAGCTACCCGCCATAATGCGTGACTATGGTGGCCTAAAAAAATACACATGAAATTCGTGAACACATTTGTGATAGCCCAATACTTAATGCTTGGTGTGTAGATGTGTACGATAGGGTGACAGGTCCCCGGTTGGAAGAGTTGCAATTCGTTATTTTTCAGAAAGACGATGTAGTGCTTCTCTATATTGGAGAGTTATTGTGCATACAGTACGTCCTTGTCGAGAATGTTCCTGGCAGATGGACTGAACATGATGAACCCGTCTCCTGACCTTCACGGCTTCCCGATAGAATTCTTGTTGTTGGGGTGTGTCAAGGACTCCAGTTGTTGACATTAAACGACATTAAACACTTCGTACAAGGATAGTCGATGGCATCAGAAGAGTAAAGAAGAATATTGATATGCTGTACTGAAGAATATATAAAACTCGATTTGTTAAGCAGTACAAAGAAAAAAATGCATAATTATACTACTTTCGGTTTTCTTGTAACCAAATTTCAAAGCCGGAACAGGACTTCGTGGACGCCTGTACAGTAGTATGGGGTTAAATTCTCCACGTTAGATAATAAAATTGAGTGATGGAATGAAGCCAGGGGCATGTTGATAAGTGATAACAGACAAGATACATGGTACTTGGGTCAAACAGAACTTGTAATTCAATCTTATGGTGACCATACTTATATCTGTAATAACTGACGTGGAGGAAACTTAAGTCAGTGATGTGCCATGAACGATATTTCATGAAACTAGTCATAAGTGACAGAAAAAGATACTTAGCCTGTTTCAGTAGTAAAGTAACAGATGAAAAATATAATGTCATATGCTAGATTGATATATTAGGTCATGGATAATCAGTAAAGAAGATAAATATTATAGTGTTTAGACAGATGGAAATTTGTTAATAATAATATGAAGCAGTAATGGGTAGGATGAATGGTATGTGTTGTACAGGTGAAAGGAATAAGAAAGATTAGCGAGGTCAGGCAGGTAAGAGTAACGAGCAACACTACACTACCAAGCACTCGGGATGATTACGTCCGAAAGAAAAGTGCTACTTGAAAATTTACTGAAAAAATGAAGTATTTGCATGTTCAGAATAACTATCATACAGAAGAAAAAGACGGACACTAATTAAGGTATTTGGTTGGGGATGGGAGAGTGGAAGGTGGAATTTCGACACTGTAGATTTCCTGATTCGACAGATGTAAAGCCCCTACCATGACGAATTATGAAAATTTTAGTGTGTGGTGTGAAATGTTACTTTTTACTTTTATTACGATTTTATTCTGTAGAAATGGGAGTGGTTAGTAGACTATCTCCCTTAGTAGCATATTTCCCTGAGTAGCCTATCTCCCTTCTTGGTTAAATTATTATTATTATTATTATTTACAATATTTTTAATGATCAAATTAGCCAAAAAAAAAATTTGCTTAAATATAACTTGGAAAATTATTATATTCCTTTGGAGACGTAAATTTCTAAGTTGCGAGGTGTTTTAATTATTTATCATTACTAGTGTGTTGTGTACCTATGAAAACATATGTACAGTAATTATAGATTGTATGAGAATTATATGTTTCGCAATAATATATGAGGTAAGGACGATTGTTATAGACGCGGAAGTCCAGTAAATTTGTATAATCATTTTAACCTCAAAAGGTGATGAAGACTTTCTATTCCATTTAGTTAGGCTTATAGCAATTCCAGTGCCTAGAGTATATGTTGTGCAACCAATAACAGTTTATAGGACTCATACTGACTATTAGGAAACCCCACCCCCCCCCAAAAAAAAAGGCAAATGATTTCAACCTTAAAATAAGTTAGATAAGCGATTTTCTATACCAAGGAAATAAGAATGCCTTCATAGATATACTAAATAACAAAAATTAGTATAAATCGAGGTGGCGCAAATATTGAAGATGCAGTACTGTGTATAGTTCCTGCCACAGTGTCTCCTCGTTAAAGTTCTAGTGATATTTTTTATTATTCGCTGCATTTTTTTTACTGGGTTACTTATGAAGGTGTACGCTACAGAAGGCTATATAATACTGTAGAGGAATAGATCTGTGCCTTCTACCATGATCCTTTGAAATAATTAGATTTTCGAGGGTTATACCAGGAAGCCCTATTGAGCTTGTTCAAGGGTTCAGAGCCACTGGAAATAAAGGTCATAGGTCCGGCTTAAGCTATGGTTCTAAAAATTCTAACAAAGGGTAATATTTCTGGATATTTCTGGACAATATATAGAGGAGCTCACTCGTAGCGGTCTTTTACAACTATGTTTATTTTCTCTGTGTTGGTTTTAACTCCTCTTTATGTCTCTCATTATCTCGTGTGTGTGTGTGTGTGTGTGTGTGTGTGTGTACAGAATGACCCATAATTCGCACATAATAGGAAATTCTCTAGTTTTGTTCTTTTCAAGTGTTCAGTAACATGGCTGAAAATTGACAAAAGACCACAGAATTAGTTTAATATTTCCCATTGGCTTCCCAGGTGCTGCACATCAATCAATAGTGGAATATTTAACAGTTATACCCAAATGAGAGACCAATTTATCAGTCAAAAGTAGAAATACTAATCATTTCCATCTGTATAAAGTTGAGTTAGTGCCAGAATTTCACGGGGATGTTACAGTACAGTTCGACGGGAAGAGTTGCTTATGTGAAGAGAGATCAGTGTTATTTAGTGTTGAAGCAATTTTCCACCTGAATGATAACTTTAACAGAAATATCTAACGTGTAAAATGATTATCGTATAATGGAATGGACTTGGATTTGGAATGACGATATAATAGGTTCGTATTTCATGATTGTAAACGTTATAGCTGATGATTTAGACGGCGATGTCCTATTCAATGGCCACTTAGATCCCCAAACACCACTACCCCTTGGTTTTTCCCTGTGAATTTATCTTAAATCTATCGTCTTCGACTCTACTAGTAGTGGCATTTAACCATTCAGTAATTGCAAAACAAAATTAAGTCTAATTGCGCAAAAACTACCAAAGAAACATAAGAAGCAGAATTAGTAAATTTAAGTAATAAATGTTTAAATGAAGAGTTATTATGAACTAAAAAATATCCAGACATAAACGTTACAGGGAAAAATGATAATTGTATGAGATTGCATAATGAGAATATGTTGCGAACTTAATACACTATAAAACATTCACTTGTTTTCATGCACACATAAACACAGAAAGACAGTCAAATTCACATTATTCCAGACACGCAAATTCTAAAACACACACACACACACACACACACACACACCCACATATTTTGTATTGTCTGCATCTTATGATCTTGTGTGAGTATGTGGTTTTTTACTGTGATATGAGATTCAATGACCTGTGTACTCAGTTTTCAAAATTAATTATTATTATTAATATTATTATTATTATTATTATTTAATGCATAGCCCAAATTATACGCGTCTACAAAATTAATCTGCTGACATAAACCACTTCACCTGTTTATAAAGCCAAGACTACTCTAACACTCTTAACAACCTTGAGCAAATGAGGATGAGGAGTCACTGTTGGTCTATTGTTAGTTGATCTATTGTTACTTCTTTTTTATTTTCTTTAATTGTATTTTATAGATAATCAATAATGGGTGAGCTCTTCCCCCAATCAGTGGTTATAGCTGAAGGGTGATTGAGATATGCAATCTTTGATTTATTTCCTCATATAAAAGAGCGTCTCGGGTAAAGGTAAATTTCATAACAGGTATTCCGTATTTTGTCCAACACCGTTATTATGACACTACACACCTGTTTTCATGAATTATATCTCCATTAGAAGATACGCTTAACTAGTTAATGAATAAACTTCAATGATATCTTTGTGTTATTGTGTTGTGGTATTGTTTTAACCCTGTCATTACGCATAACTAATAAACGTTATTGTAAGCTTGATTTTCCGTGTCACAGTTTCAGTCAATAGATGCCAGCCACTCCTTATTCTCCCTGGTCTTCTGGCTTCTCCTTCAGAACCTCGGCATTGGCTTTGTCGCCATGGAAGACGCACGTGCTTCGACTTTGCTATAAGCCTTTCAAGGATACCACTACTTTTTTGTTACTATTTCTAAATTATTGAATATAATAAAAGCATAAAGAAAAGCGTCTTTTGAATAAAATTGGAGTGATAGTTTCATATATAATTGGGTACGTATCTAAAAACCTGACCAGCTGATGATAAGATCTACCTTTGCTGTAGCCAGTCATGGGAGACTAAAGAAAGCCTGGCACAAAGATACCGTCTTGTATAATATCGCATAAGGCAAAGATATTTTTACGAGGATTCACTGTGTGCTTTGTTTTTCGGGTCTTTCGAAGCCATACTGGTACACACACACACACACACACACCAATAGGTCACTCCCATGCAGCAGAGATGGCTATATAAAAGCATTTACCGTAAAGAAAATGTATGTATATAACATAATTTTACAAGAATGCTGAAAGGACAACAACTATGATCAGCCAACTAACTAGCAGCAGTACTTGTGAGGGACAACACTTGACACAGATTACTCAAATACTATTTACACACAATATTCATTCAGCTAAATTTAGATGTTGTTTAAGGACTGCCGGGTAGTCTAATTAAATGCGAAATATCAATAATAAAATTAAAAAAGTATTGTTCGTATTTAACTCCATTTTGTTACGAGCAATAAAGCAGTGTATTAGATAGAGTTGTTAGATTATATAAAGAGAAAAAGTGCGTTTTTGCGAAGCATCAGAGCACTATACAAACAACATTCCCAGGATAATGGAATGTTTGAGCTGTGAGCAAGTGAGGCTGTGATAGTGTCAGACATGTTAGAGTGCATAAAATATATATCCAGCTATATCTGTCAACTAGAACACGAGAAACTAAGTGACTGAGAAATATACCGCTAAGTGATCCATACGAGGACTGCACAACTAGAGGCCTGACCTTTTCTCATAGGTGCCCAATGTCTGCCCACCTCCGAAACTTCTTGACTCTCTGGTCCCGCTCCCCACGTACCCATTCATACTAGGAGGTAAAGAGAAACAGGAGAAGCATTAGCCACACCCAAAGACATGAAACAAGATCAGAAAAAAAATCCAAAATGATATAATACTAACTAAATTAAGGGTAGTGCGATCTCTAACATTCTTCTAGGTAACACGTACACTGAGAAAGTTTACTTGTATCCACAGCTAACTGGACATAAACATGGGGTGAGTAAGTAGGGATATTGAAATTGAAACTACTTACAATGTGCTGCGATTCCGGTCTCATAGTTAAATAATAAAACATGGCGTGTAATTCCACACTAAATAGGGATAATTGTCTAATGGCGAAAGTGTCTTATGTATTTCCATGGCGCTTATTTCCACACTAAATAGCGATAATTTTCGATTGGCGAAAGTGTCTTATGTATTTCAGTATATTGGACACTTTTTCCTGGTAATTGATGATTATAAATATCATCATATTTCATATAAATGAGTAGTTTCATAGAAATCCCTAACCTATCCTATCCTAACCTAATTTAGGTATTATTTGCTTTCTTATGGTAGTAAACGACATCTTTAATGAAACAAAGCAAATTTACTATACACGAATTGAATATCATTAAGTTGCAGGAATAAAAACAAACAGTTATCCCTATTTGACAAAATAGTCAGTTCTTTTTTAAAGAATAAATGGATAAATTGGGATATCTTTGCAAAATAGGGGTATTCTTTTGATTTCTGCACTATAATTTAAGGGAAATTTGTTCACATGATAAAAAATCTGTAGTTTCATTTTGGACGTCGTTGACCGTACATGACTATGTGGTGTTTACACTTGATTCTGCTCGTTATAATATGGGCATTATTATCCCGTGCTTGTTGTCATGTGTCTTGATATTCATAATAATTAGTAAAAGAAGAAGAAGTAGTGGTCAATATGTTCTCCGAAAGCATGAATTTGTTTGTGACTTCGACGGTAAATATTCTTTTCCTATTAACGTCAGTTGAAAATAAAACGACTAGATTACGATGTTACGTTTTAATTTACTTCACATATAATAAATTTAATTTTTTTAACATTAATTTCAACTATATTCACAAGTGCCAATATGATCAATACCAGAGGAACGCCCAGGAAACGTATCGTAAATTTAAATCATCACTGCAGCTGTATAGAGTCTCCATAAGCAAGTTATAATAAGACCACAGGTTGAAGTTGTATGAAATAAAAACACTTAGAGAAAATGAAATACATCCCGTAGCCTACAAGACCTCGACAACAGTATCTCAAACTGATCCCAGCAAATCTAAAACGAAGCTAAGTGATCGTCAAGCAGTGTTGGAAGTTTACCTCCAGCTGACCCATAAGTTCCACCTTGTAATGAGAAGTTTGCCAAATTTCATCGTGATCAATCATGTTGCTGACATATTTGAGAGTCTATGGCAAATCCCGAAATATCCAGACCGAAAGTTACTCCCTACCCTTCCTCGACCTTGTAAAAATCAACTATGTACGTATGTATATTTTTTAATTAAGTAAGGAGAGAGAGAGAGAGAGAGAGAGAGAGAGAGAGAGAGAGAGAGAGAGAGAGAGAGAGAGAGAGAGAGAGACGCACACTGGTAGGGAAGATTTACCTGCTGATCTGCTTTAAGCGTCCAGGCTGAGGTGCCTATTCCGGTTATGTGTAGAACTTTTCCTCTGGTTAAGAAAACTGAATATTGTTATTTAGTTCTATACTAAAAATATTCAACAGAAAACACTGTAGCTCATCATCTTTAGAATATCTGTGAGTGTAGGGACGAATCCATGCTGATAATTCTGACATGAGCCACAATAGATTATGGTAACCTCCGAGGGTCTCCACTGCTCCAGCTCAGCCGAGTTATGTGCGCCGTGAACATTGGTTGATTGGATCTTGAAAACCTTACTCAATAAGTTGTAAGGCAGACGGCACACAGGAGACAGTTACCGGCAATCACTATATGTTCACGGGGGACCTGGTTATGCACCTGTTCCATTATTACTGTACACTATACTGCGTTATGCTGAACTCCTGCCAAGAGTCTTCCTATGGTTAACCGAGATTTTAAAACAAGTGTTTGATTGTATTTGGGTGTTATATATACAGGATATATATTCTTAATTAATTTACGTACATTAGCTCTATTTAACTCTATTTTTAAATGACGCCGGTTGTTTATACTGAATTGATTACAGGTATGATTCAATTGACAAAGAGACCAGACTTACACCAAACTTAGCTCACCGTCTCATTCTGTATCCACAACAACATAACAGTATAGTGAAACGTTGAATGATATCTTTATAATGCTCTATGATAAAATAAAGTTTGGGTAAAAAATATTGTCGGCCATGCAAATTCAGCGAAAACCATCAGGGCTGTAACGATACATGCTACAAAAACACAAGGACTAAACAGATAGACGCCCGAACATTTACACAGTGTAATAAAACTCATGTAGAGAGAGAGAGAGAGAGAGAGAGAGAGAGAGAGAGAGAGAGAGAGAGAGAGAGAGAGAGAGAGAGAGGTTGAAAACAAAGTGAGATGACAGGAAAACAATGCTAACGCGCACACCAAGCAAACAGCACCAGGAAAAGGAAGAAAAATGAGTTCATGATAATAGTGAAAGAACGTTGACGGTGAAGGACAGAGCGACCCGGAATAAGATGGCGTAGTAGGAAGGGTTGTCTGGACGGGCCAGGGACGGAGGCTGTGACCACATTAAAGGAGACAGAACATTGAAGATATGATGCTCAGATTAATTGAATCCTGGGTGAAAGACAGCGGCGGCGTGTACCTCTATTGAACATTAAAGTCAGTAAAGGACAGAAATAAAGTATGTAATGTAGGAGTAACTATATATATATATATATATATATATATATATATCTCAGTAACAGTAATGTATGTCATATCCGCATCAGTATGGGAGGTAAAGTGAAGACAACCTAAAAACTTTTTGAGTGACAGGTCGTGATCACCATCCCGGAGAGTCTGAGGTTGGCATCTTGATTGATTGATATACATTAATGTATAATGGGTCTAATTTTAATTGAATTTGGTATTTCGTTTGTGTAAGTCAAGTGAGAACCATGGCAATATACCACGTTTATTCTTCACTGTTCGTCACGTTGTCTGGTTCTCTCCTGTGTTCGCCCTTCACAGCCTCTTCCTCCCTATGTTTTCTCTCCTCTAATATATCTCACTGTTTCTCGCCCCTTGTAACTTTACTTTGAAATATATTTTAAAATATTCTCTCACAACTTTCTCCCGTAGGGTACCTCAGCTAGCATCCCTCACTAACTTTGTCAGAGGAGTTTTACCAAAGGATACTTTATATGTCTCGTGATGACACTTTATCTAAATAGCAGTTTGTGTGAGTCGATTATTTAAGACGCACACAGTAAAGGTTTATAATAGTCTAATTGTCACAGAGTAGTGATTTCACGCTTCCTTACATAATATAAAGGTATGGTAAGGGTTGTGGGGAATGTGGGAGTTTTAGTGTGGAGGAGGTGGGAGGTTTAGTGTGGAGGAGGTGGAAGGTTTAGTGTGGAAGCGGTGGTAGGTGTAGTGTGGTGTGGCTAAATTTGATCAAACTTTAGTTTTGTTTTATATCCTTTGAAGAGTCCACCTCTCATTGAATATTTATCCATTTTACTTCGTGTTTTATCGAGTTTTTCCATTTCTGTTTCCCAGCACATTCTATCTGACTACCTTGCATTTCCCCTTTACCCCTTTTCCTTCTCATTCATTATACAGTAGTCCCCTCAGAACAATTTCCCCTTACTGTAGCTACCAGTTATTGTTACCAGGGCTAAAAGTTTCATATAGTTATTACTTGAGTATTGACGTCCATTCTCTCTACGTCGCACTTTTCCACGCTGGTTCTACTTTCTACGAAACTTTGGTAATATAATCATTAAAGTATTTTTTCCACAGATTATCATAAACTTTTTTCTCTATTTCCGCATTTCTCAGTTTTTACACATTGATATTTCTCATTTTTAGTTTCCTATTGCAATTTTAAAGCCTTGGTTTCGAATCTTCATGTGATATTTTCCTTACACGCTCCACCACTCTCGCTCTCTGCCGCACCACACCTCCCCCACTATATTGTCCTACACGGAACAACCTCAGTGTCCTTACCCTGTAGCCTTACACTCATTATCCTATCACTAATCTCCAATATAAAGTCCACATTACACCTTTATACAGGATCGTTATGAATAAACACACTTCCGCATAACAAGAACGACCATTAAGTATACTTTTCCTCATATTTCGGTTTATTAATGAAATTTTTCAGGTGATCCTCGGCCGCTATTTTTACGTACATATTGTTCTAATATCACCTAATGTAACATAAACAGACCTGATCGAGTCTAACCCAATATTTCTTAAGCAAATCTGTCCCATCCAAACCCAAACTGACCTGACCTGGGCTTTGTAAAATGGCACAGTCTCTTGTAACATGAAAACCTAAGCTGGCTAAACCCATCCTACACAATATTTTATTTGACGAGGATATTATTGGTATTGATATTATTTGTCTTATTTTTCACACTTGTGTTTCTTTTCCGTATTTTTGCATATTCCTTTCCTACCATTACCCTCAGTGTATTCACATTTTATATGGTTTTATACGAGTATTCACATATGCTTAATATTTTAACTAAAAAAATCCCAAATGGAAGTCATAGGGCGTTTGAGTTTATTTTTTTACTCATATATTTAGTTAGTTTATTTCGTTAGTTTCATAGTAATTACACTATCTGGGTTACATGTATTTCAGTTTAGTGTATCTTACCTGTGCGCTGAAGGAGTTGACGTGTGTGTGTAATCCACACACACACACACAATAACCTACCTTCATTAATTGGCTGAATTCACGTGTACTCTGACCATAGGACTTACCTGTTCTAGTTTAATACTTGCGTGTTACTTTAGACCTGAACACGCTCTTGGTTCCCAACTAAGGTGTAACCCACTTGTTATAACGTATACACACACCTGGTCGGATTCAATTTACATAGAAGTGACCTACCTGTAATGAGGGCGGCCTTACGTGTCCCAGCTATGAGCCTACCTGTTCTTATTGGGTGTGGCCATATGTAGGCGGTGTTGTGAGGTCAGATCCTGGTGGGAACCCCGTAGGCTGCTCGGGGAACTGTTCACCTCGTTGAATCTGCCAATTGGAAATATTATCCATGAAATTTTGACGGCAATCCATGGGAGCTTTATGATTCTTTAAGAGACTTTCACTGGTTGAGATTTTAATTTTAGTACATAATCTTTTGTCTGCATGTGTCTATAAATGGATGGAATCTTTGAATAACTTTGCCAGTTTATACATGAACTTTTTATCCACACATAAATTGCTTCCCTTTGTTTTTAATGTCTAGTGAACAGTTACCCTTGTTTATTATCCCGTAAGTATCAGAAGAAGAATCTTTTCTAATCTAATAGATAAAACTTCTTCACTTGGACAGGGATTTTTTTTTTCGTGTGTTTTAGTGAGGTGTCTTACGGCAGTAGTGCAATGTGTCTCTAGTGACCCTTTTCGATGTTCTTGTTTAAAATGATACAGTGGTGGCGCCCTACCCACATTTTCGTGGAGGAGTTTAGCGCAAAAGGCTGGTGGTAATTTTCTCTTATAAAACCGTAATCGTGGCTGAATACACCCTGTGGCCGAGCGAATAATCAGCTATGATAATGATGGTCTCGTAAACAGTCACAATATTGGAGTAGAAAATTTCGCCTTTGCCACCCTCGGCGCTTACACCTCACGTCAATGATAACAAATGTTTTTATCCGCATATTCGTGATTTATTATATTTTCTTGTTCAAATGAATGTGAGTCTACCGAGATCACTTCCATTTTAGTGTCTATGTATAATAAATATTGAGGACATATATTTCTGATAGGCATTAAATACATATAATCTTACCTGAGGATCCAACAGCTGAACAACAATATATCTGAGTAAATCACAAGACTTTGGAATATAATAGAAGGGAGGTGGAAGAGACGGCAGCAGCTTGGAGACATACGCGAGGAGCTGGTGTTGAGGGATGGAAATTTGTTCTGTCCCTTTCAAACAGTCATTACCACAGGGAAAAGTTTGGTATAAAAAACCACTAGAACATGCAGCTTTGATATAGTTTATTCATATACAACCACCACCCAGTCCCTGTTGTGGGTCGTTCAACTACAAACACACATTCATATTGCTGTGACGAATGGGAAACAAACTATTTTTTTTTATGTAACACCTTTAATTAAAATAAAAACTCCTTGGTTGGTGTATATTATCTACGGTTAAGTATAAATCATCTATAATTATTGACGAGAAAAAATTATCAACAAAACTATTTTATTTACTACAGTACATTGACCATCATCGTCTGTAAACACCTTTTCCATTAAGAATTTTGGAAATTAACTGAGTATGAGGTATCAAGTTTATGATTGACATGTATGATTTGACGAATTATTCTTTCTGTTTTATCTTACGTGTTTATGTAAGTTGATTATATAGACAGAAGCTTAGAGAACACACACACACACACACACACACACACACACTAACATAAAAACCTACCTTCATTAATTGGCTAAATTCACGCGTACTCTAACCTCGGGTTTCGAAGAAGTCTTATACCGTGGCTTACAGACTTCCTCAGTAACCGACGCCAAGCTGTACGCTTCCGAGGGCCTGTCTCCACCTTTCAATCACTCACCTGTGGCGTCCCCCAATGCACTAAGATGGGACCACTATGCTTCCTTATGCTTATCAGTGATGCCCTAAGAGAAACCCCTGCTCGCTGGAAATATGTCGACGACTCCACCATTGGGATCATCATCAACAATTCTGCTCCCGACTATACCGCCCTTCAGGATTTATTGAAAAGTCTTCAAAACTGGGCCACCAACAGACACGTCACCATCAACCATACCAAGACCATGGTTTTGCACATCAACCTCTCCTCCGACGTTGTCCCACCCCCTTCCATTACTTTAGGTCCCAACACACTCCAGATTGTAGATTACATTAAGCTCCTCGGCGTCACCATAGACAACAAACTAAATTGGAAACTACATATCAGTGAAGTTGTCAAATCCTCCAGTTTCCGTCTCCACCTCCTCCGCCGACTCAAGTCCCTTGGAGTTCGTGCAACCGGGTTTCTTCGTGTTTACTCAACATTCATACTTCCCAAGCTCACCTATGCCTCCCCTACCTGATCTTCCTCCCCAAATGCCACACAACGTAAACACCTAGAAAAAGTGCAAAAGAGGGCATGCAAGATTATTCTCTTCCCTTCCTACTCCACATATCAAGAAGTGCTCAACACACTGACCCTCTCGGCTCTCGCTGACCATCACCACGACCTCATCTGCAAATTTGGTGAGAAGCTTCTCCATCATCCTTGACACCGGCTCCCGCTACCACCTGAGATCCCTCGCCCGATAATTGCTGTTCGACACCACTACCGCATCCAGCCCATACGAGCACGAACTGGTCGCTATAAGAACAGCCTAGTCCTAACCATTGTAAAAATTATCAATAACTTGTAATTAATCAGTGTATTCTCTCCTAGTCAATCTTACTTTTTGCACTGTCACTATGATGAAATGCCCTGTAGTTTGAGCTTCTTCCCACCTAGTTATTATATATCATATTTGTATCACTTATGTTACTTGTATATTATTTGTAAATAAAGAAACCCATTCTCCAATTATGTAACTGTATATTTTCAGCCTTCCGGCTACCATGCTCTTTCAATAAACCGTTAATTATTATTATTAATTATTATTATTTCACACACACACACACACACACACACTTCCTTACATCTATGAAGTTTAATTCTTGATTTTAATGTTGATCTACAGTACATGATTTAGTGGTTATTTCACCTAATATAAAAAGTTGAATCACCATAGACCGAGAAATTGCCTTTGAAATCCCATTAACTTATTTGAGCTGATGTCCCTACACACGTGCCCAAAAAATTTTGTTCCAATCAAAGTTTAATGTAAGTTTAATCTTGGCTCTGAAAGTCCAATACGGATTGGTTTTTTGTTTGATGGTTCTGTAGATTGTTTCGTAAAAGGAGAGAGAGAGAGAGAGAGAGAGAGAATAACATTAATGATTATACCAAAAATAATAACAATATCAAAATTAAGAAAATATAATGCATTGTACCGTATAGTAAGTGTACAGCCATGTGCATTGTACCACACGGTAAATGGAACATAAATACAATGAAAATTATTGGTAAAGGTTCCTACTACAACCTCCGTCCTTACCTTGTTATGCTGACGGGTGCTGGAGTTAAAACATCTCCCGCAAGTTCCACCAACAATCACACAGCAGCCGTATAAACCCATAGTAAAGAGACGTGAGGCAACCGAGGAGCCTTTGTCTAAGAAACTGAGCGACGTCCCATGGGTAATGTAGTGGAAAATCGTACCCTAAAGAGCTCTGACTTCCCCACCCGGAGAAAATATATCGTCCAGGTTCTCAGTTTCGTTGATTAATTCACTGAAGAAATATAAATCTTAGGTGTCTGGGATGAAGGCGGTATGTGTTATGTAATACAAACTTAATTATAATGATTCGTTTCGGAATATCACAGTCAAAGTTATCATTCCTCATTGTTATTGCCATCGCGACTTCCTTGCTTTAAGGCTCCACATTACGAGTAGTATACATCCATAAGTTTCGTTGATTTCTCTTCCCTTTTTAAATCTAGTTCATAAGAAAGTTAGAGGATATTCGTATATGTGTTTGTTTACTGTAGATTAGAGAGAGAGAGAGAGAGAGAGAGAGAGAGAGAGAGAGAGAGAGAGAGAGAGCCTATCTGCGTGCAAGGGGAAGAGTGTATGTGTAAGATAGATAGATAAATAGATAGATAAAGAGAATGTGTAGGTGTGTCTGTGTGTGAGAGATAGATAGATAGATAGATAGAATGTGTGTGTGCATGTTAAGCATAATAATTCTTCATTTAACAGAGTCCCGTACAGTAATCACAAGGCCGCGACAACTTCTTTTTAACCTCGTTCCTGCACTCTACTTAGGGTTGAGTGATTTCAGCCTCCCTCATCATCCTCACAAAATACGAGGACTATACGCCTACGGGTGCGTTACTTCCCTTAACGTAATGGTGTAATTCCAGTAATGGGCACAGCACACCTACAGGTAGTTGGAGGGAGGCACACACGGATGGTTTGTGGGAGTGGTGGTTGAGTAAGAAGGAAGAGAGGCTCGGTGACCTATACAGTGCACCTCCGCCAACCTCATATGATACACTTTTGTTAATTACCAATGTTATTCTTGTTAACATTGCACGCCGGCCATGTTTTATTAATATTTCGTACTGTAAATGTAAATCATATACATAGTTACGAGTATATCAGTTTCTCACATATAATAGAAAGTGAATGATGAAATAGTGAAGGTAATTACTCCTTACAGTCACCTGTATTCTACTCTATATCTACCTTGGTTTAGTTTATATCCTGTTCACTTCCAATGAATTTTACTAAGAGTATTTTCAAGCAAACTGCCGCTTACACAAATCTCGTAGGTCCGTGCACATGTTCTTCATGTGTTTCTGCACAATAGTTCACACTAATGTTATCGGAAGGTTTAATCCCTATTTTCAGTATTTTTTTCTTACTTGATATCATAATTTTACGTTAGGGTTTTCATTACGTCGTGGTGGAAGGTATACTATTGGCGTACCTTTACTTCACTCAGTATTATAACACAACGTTCATCACATAATCTAATTAACTACAAAACGTCTGGGCAGCGTAGCAATTTTAATAAACTAAATTTCTTTTCTGCATACTAAATCTTCATCGTATAGTATTATAACTTTATATTCATTTATAAATACAATTATGAAATTATGATGCCCATATACTGTATATTGTCTATTTATGAAGGTGTTGGGAGGCAGGCGTAGACATAGGGGGCTCAGGTCGTTAGCTGAGGAATCCATCCACTACACATATATATATATATCATGTCCACTATACAATCGTCTACATTCTACACCATACTCACTACACTATCGTCTACACTATATGCAATTATCTACAGTGCATCCATTCGATGTCTGGTGCACTGTATCCACTACACTATCTATGCCACTTCAACTTCACTATTACTTTTAGCTCAAAATTCTCACCTTTCGAGGCACTTCTAGGATGTTTATGTATGTCCATTCCAATGAACGCGCGCACACACACACACACACACACATAAACAAATATATTGCAGTACTCACAGATATTGCCTGTTTATGGAAGAAAATGGAGGCGGAGTGATGTCACCGTCAGAGGAGTATGGGGGCATGGCTTGAGCGGCCGCTGTGGACAGAGCCGTAGCCCCACTCAGACCGCTAGTGCTCAGACCCCCACTGAGGGCCCCACTAGCACTCATGGGCCCGCCCAGGACCCCCGTCAACCCTCCACCCAGACTAGATCGAGAGGTTGTCATGTTGGGTTGAAGGCCAGCCAAACCCTCAGCTCGGTTGGTTTGTTCGTCGTGCTGAAAGATCAACACTACTGGATTAAGAAGGTTTCATGGCTTTCTCGTGGAGTATTCTGGAGTCTGTGTAAGGGTTAATATGCATTGTGACTAAAACCAAACATTAACTGTACCTCTGACCTTGGGAACTCTGTTATGTGTTATACTCCATTTCGAGATATTGATGAAAAAAAAATATACTAAATCACTGAAAAAAACTTCCGTCTTATGAATCACTGACAAAAACTATGAAATGAACACAAAAGAGTACATAACAAAAACTTTTCTAGGATTGACCAACATTGACCCCAGAGCGACACACTGAATAATATAACCCACTTTAACCACACACTGTACATTAACCACTTGACTCTCACGATCTTATTTACGGTTATGAATATGTAGTAGAATATAATTAATAGATTATAATTATTTTATTTCTAAACTTATTTGCTTTCCTATCCTAGTATCACTCCTATCCAATAATTATACATAACGGGACTTACCGAGGAACAGTGACAGCACATGATGTCAGTGACGGCCTTTCTGAGACCCTTGTGGAGTGCCAGGAACAGTGCGGGGTTGACGAAGGCGTGTACGTAGGCCACATGTAGTGTCACCTGTGGTTAATAATAGTTATAACCCATAATACACACACACACACACACACACACACACACACACACACACACACACACACACACACACACACACACTCACCTCTCAGGGACCTGGGGATATAATAGCGGACCTTCATCGTGGTTGAGAAATGATGATGAGGAAAAGAATTAGAGGCAGGAGTGTTGAGTGAAATAGATGTGAAGTAGCAGCTGATGATAGTGATTAAACGTGGGAGTTGAGGATGATGGAGGGTGAGGTGGTGGAGAGTGAGGTGGTGGAGGGTGTGGTGGAGGGTGAGGTGGTGGAGGTGGAGTGGTGGAGGGTGGAGTGGTGGAGGTGAGGTGGTGGAGGTGGGGTGGTGGAGGGTGAGGTGGTGGAGGGTGAGGTGGTGGAGGTGAGGTGGTTGAGGTGAGGTGGTGGAGGTGTTGTTCAGACGACGTTTTGGAGACTTTCAATTTTGTTTTTTAGAAGTGTGTGTGTGTGTGTGTGTGTGTGTGTGTGTGTGTGTGTGTGTGTGTGTGTGTGTGTGTGTTTTGTGACTTTTAACTTCCTCTAAAATGCCTGGACATCAATTACGCTTTTTATCTCTAGAAACTTAAGCAACCATCTCCTCATGCATGGTAGGAAGAAAGAGATCCAGGCTAATCTAAAACCGTATTTCCTTCCAACAGTTGCCATTGCTTTCGACTTTGTATCAGTCACTCAGATAAAAACATACAAAACAAGATTCCAAACAGTAAAGCAGCATCAGAGATAAACCCACATCATTGTATCTTCTGGGATTGATATTAACAAAATGATAAAACATGAATAAAACTATGTTGATATTTTGTATATGGTATAATATGGGGAATTTTGTTCATGGGGTTTACGTCATTCATTTACAACCACTGTTTTTTTTTCTTCATATAAACACTGGTTAATTTTTTCTGTAAGTTTAAAGATTACGAAAAAAAAACATTAATCTCGGATGTTTGTTGGTGGTGAATGAATTGTTTTAATCTAACCCTTCACGCTTGATTTACATTCACTCTCTTTATCCTGCGTAGTAAAATCTCTTTAACTCTGAAACACAACCCACCTTCACAAGTCGAGCTCTGTGGCGTGTAGTACGGATAACATTGTTTTCTATCAGATGGTTCATAAAAAATAATTACCCTTAAACCTTTGTAACATAAAACATGGCAGGTGGATTTTCTTTCAAATGTAAGAGAGAAATAATTTCACAAAATCTCTCGAGTGAATTACTTGCTATCGGTGTAGAGGATTTAGCTCCCAGGTCCATAGAGTACTGTATAATGTATTAAATTTGACGGTAATTGGTGAGGTGGCTGGTGCTGCTACACTGTTTACTTATGATAATGCCTAGGAAGCCTATTGGAGAACTGAATGGTAATCCTATCCCCACCATCACTAAAACTACTATCACAGCTACCACTATTATCACTAACTCTCCCACCACCATCTTTAACTACTATCATCACTATTACCACTACCACTACTACCACTACTAACACTATCATATTAAATGCCACCATCACTGTCACAATCACATCACCAACATCATTCACCATCATTATCATTCACCATCATTATCACTTAATAACAAAAACTCTTCATCGGCAGCATTGTATTCATCATTATTCAGCAGCATTCACCTTAATCACCATTTAACCAGAACTGATTAGCGCTCACCAACTTTTCACCAACATTAACCACTTCCTGAGAATTGACCTTCTTTCACCAACACTCACCATATTATTGCCTCCCTAGAACTCACCGTAGCTCATAACTTCTCATAAGCCCTCATTACCTTTCCAAAATTCACCTTTCACATCCTCTCATCAATACACAGTTACACCTCTCCAGAGCTCACAACATGTCACACTCACATCACCTCAGAATTCACAACTTCACAACCACTCAACCACACACCACTTTTAATAACCTCTTACCTCATGGCTTAGCCCGGTCTTGCCCCCTGATGGAGTGAGGAGTGTGACGAGGAAGAGAGGACCCCAGAAGACGACATAGGCGACGGTCACCACCACAAACATCTTGACTCTCTCTACACCCTCGCGTTCCATCCTGGTGATGTAGTTGTTGACCTGGTGGTGTTCCCTCGACTCTGGGTCTGTGAGGGAAGGAAGGAAGGAAGGGTTTAGTAAGGGAGGGGAGGGGGGGTTAGAAAGGGAAGGATGGTTAGTAAGGGAGGGAGGGTTAGAGACGGAAGGAGGGATGGTTAGTAACGGAGGAATGGAAAACCAGTAAGGTAGGAAGGGATTGTTCATTAAGAGGGGGAGGGATGGTCATTAAGAGATGGAGGGCTAGAGAGGGAAGGAAAGAGGGTGGGAAGGTCAGTGGAGGGTGTGTGAGGGTAAAGAAGCGGATGATGACAAACTGAAGGAGAATAATAATTACCTCGACAAAGAAAAAATATATTAACGCGCTTGACTGTTGTTCCAGCACGATTAAAAACAAGATTGACAAAGGGTAGAACCTCACAGAATTATTGAAGAGTAAAATACGTGGTTTTATATGATTATCAGTTACATATATGATTTTATTTCTGCTGAATGAGTCTCTCGTTTAGACATACGAGTATGCATCACAAGAAGAAGAAAATTAGTCATCTTTCTCGAATTGTAAAATCTATGGAATTTAACAAAGTGTGGTTTTAAATAGTTTATTCTATGGTTAAGGCGTAATATTATGTTTTACGTGACACTTTGAAGAGGTTGACTTTCAAAACATATCAAGAGCTCAGTGCCATAACACCATGCGGATTATTAATGATATTAACAAAATTATCACAATACTGGGGAATAATCTAAGTAATATGGCTGCTGTTTTTACGTAAGTTTCTTATAATTTTCATGATTTTAATCTTCACTTTCCAACCCAGAGGAACATGCTTAAGGGAAGCTCTTGAAAAATCCTGTAATTTTAGTGGTAATAAAGAGAAACGAACTACCAGAGTTTAAGCCCTTGTGCGTGTGTGTAAATCAATATTCACCATTCCTTCCTTCCCTCTTGAGCCACCTCACTGGAGCATCATCATCGCCCGCTGTGAACTTGACGGCTCCTCACCGCTTTACCCCTCACATTATCTTTTATTAGGCCCGACACCTACGGGTGAGTGGTGGAGCAACACTCACCTGTGAGAGTATAGCCCAGCCTCGCTAACACACACACACACGAAGAGTTCTACCTTATTTCGAAAGTTCTAAAGCATAGAACTATTTCAGCTGCCGTGTTTTAAGTGTTAACACTCTCCTTGAGTAGACTCAAGTAGAAGTGGGTCCCATAGGCATCAATGTCCATTAAGGTCACTGATCCTTTAATGTAATTCACGATACAAATGTCAATGTGGCGTCAGTTAATACATATGATGTGCTAACAAGAGTATTGTACCACAGAACAATATGTATGACTTTGTAGACCATGTGAAGATATCTACTGAGTTTAAACTCAATATCATCAATATTGTTTAAGGCAGTAATTAATCCCAAACACCACTCATCTGCGGGTATAGTTATGTGTTCACTGGTTCTTATGCATCCTTCTCCAATCTCATGACACACGCCTATACTAAACTAACTATAAACATGCTTAAAGTTAACGCTATCATACCTAAACATAATCTAAGTCTAATCATTCCTAATTTAAATGTAATTCCGACTGAACTTAGACCTATTCCTGACTTCTCCATACTTAACTCTCACAAGTCGACGTATTTTAGTGTCTGTCAACCCCCTCCCCTACAGCGGCACCCACCTTGGTTTTGTGGCTGGGTGACGCTGATCATGGTGGTGACGAGGGAGGCGATGCGGACGGCCTCGAGGGAAGAGGTGGAAAGGTCGCGGTATAGCTTGTAGAGGTGGTAGACGGTGAGCAATAACACGAGCACGTTGATGATGATCCACAGCACGTTGAGCACGTAGTGCCGCAGTGGACCAGTAATGAGCGGACATGATGGCGCGTTGTGCTCCTGTAAGGGAGATGAATGTGGGAGTGTGATTACCTCTGGGTGTACGTCTTATGGTTTATTACCGACACTAAAGTATTACAACGGATAATAATGACAATAAGGATGAAAATACTACTACTTTTGCTTATAATATTAATAATAATGAAAAAATAATAATTCATGCCAACCATTACCTTTTTCCATACTTCTGAAACTGATCGTTGACATTGTTATTTATGATGCCAGATAAAATAGTACTATCAGTGACGTTAATACTATCTAACATCTCTCTTGTTGTTTTCCTTGCTGACATACACATACAAGGGTCGGTAGTACGCCAGCTAGTGTAGGCGTCAGTCAGTAACAACAAATATGAGTGATAAGTGAGGTCTCCAGCCTTCCCAGTAACTCAGTGACCCTTGACCTTCTCTTCTGACACACACACACACACACACACACACACACACACACACACACACACACACACACACACAAGGAAGTCTTCGAATTATGCTATGTAATAATACAGTATGTGTAGACAGAAAATTAATAAAGAATACGTAAAAATGGTTAAAAAAAGTGGGGGTGACAGTACATTTCCTCACAGTCAAACAAGTATTCCTATTCTCCTTTCTCAGCTGACTACTCAGAGACAGGTAGATTAACAGACAGGCAGACACACACCCACCCTCACCCACCTCGTCTATATTAGCAGCGAGAGCCCCTGAGAGGAAAGTAGGGCCCAGATTGATGGTGATGGAGGCGAACCAGATCATGAAGGTGCCGAAGAGGACACACTGCGGTGACTCCATCAGAAGAGGCATCATCTTGTGGTCCGAGTCTTCCGGCAGGAGGGGCGCGTCGTTCAGCACCTGTAGGAGACGAGAACGAGGTGGGGCGTCCGTGCTACCGTTTTATTATGGGGTGAGGGATGACGTTGGGGAGAAGGGTTTTTTTTATGAATTAATGTTTAGAGATTTGATATTAGTCACAATTTTATGTTGGTATCAGATTTTTTTGGTGTGGTCATTATCGTTTATGTTTTTCGTTGATATAAAATGACCTAATTTGACCTGACAATTATTCGAGGTCGTAAAATAAAGGAGTGTGATATATGTAATGTGTGTGAGGTTAAATTCGTCATTATTATTTTATATCTACCAGTAAGGATTTCTTTCGTGTGTGAATGAGCTGTTTTTATTTTTTTTAATATTAAGGATAGAAAACATATATACATTAATAAAATTAGGTAATGAGGCATCAATTCTTCTGTCATCTCAATATTTTTTCTTTTATCTTAACTTTTTTTTATGCATTTCATTCTAGCTAAACGTCACTGAATTATTATAACGTATCTAACTGCTACACTTACATGGCCTGCAGGTCAATTTATGTAAAGGTATTATGTACTGTATAATTATCATCTGTCTCATAACCAACACTACACGTTCCGGGTTTCACTTGTCATCCGGAAAGTCATTGATATAAAGAAGGTTATTTTCCTTACAACCTGGTGCCAATTGGGTAAAGGATTATTTTGTTACGTGTGAAGAAAAACTAATAATGACTGTTTATAAAATATTCAAAATGGATATGTTGAGTATAAGGAATAATGAAAAAACAAAATGAATGAACCTAGATATTAAAGATACAGTGTATAAAATGTATGAGCCAAAATCATGAATTCGAATTTGGCAGAAAAGCTATTTAAATTCACATACATTCTAATTTCCCATAATCTCTCAATCAGTGTAATTTTTTTTTATGTAGCGTCGTAACCTACACTATGGAATAATAAGATGAACACATACGTATATAAAGACACAAACTTTGGTATATTTTAAGGACATATTGAACATACAACAACAAATTAAACTGGCACTCAATATTTTTTGGGGGGGATTCAGGTGAGGGAGGGGGGGGGGTTCGGGGGTTAACTTCATTTGTTAAACTTGAAAGTGTGAGAGAAAACATTTGGGCTTTTCTTAGGTGATTTACACACATAATAAAGACAATTAAGTGACTAGCCCCTCATGGTTATATACTGTAGAAGCTAGACAAGAAGGATAGGAGGGGGGGGGGGGTATGTAGGCTATAGAGTAAACATTAAACATTAGCCACATTAGTGAAATAATAGCAAAACCTGTCAATTGGTTTTGTATAATTTTTTATTTGTCTTATTTTTTTTTATAAGCATTGTAATTTTGCTGCTATATGTGAAATTTTGAAAAGTGTCATTATTATAAAAGTGATCATCGGCAATACGTCAATTTGGAGATATATTGAGAAATATGGCACTTGGCGTGATAGGTAAGATAGTGATACAGCCATCATGTGCTGGGAAAGGCTGTGATCCACATTATAGTACGGACAACAACACTCCTTGTTTGTAAGTAATTTATTATATGGACAGCGTAGTGTAACCTCGCAAGATTTAACACCATGGTGACTTGTCTTTTACCTCGAATATTTATAATTTAAAATACACATAAACTTCAAAAGTCATTGTAAACCTTCATTCTCAAGTAATTATTTAGAGTCTTGTTGTATCGTTTTAATTAATTATATGTATTTAGCATTAGTAAAGCATTTTGTTACAGGAAAAGTTGTCGTGTTTAGTTTTCGTTGTTCCCGTTGATGTAACTCCCCCGAAACTCCGTCATGACAGAACAATAATATAATCGCTAATTAAATATTCACTACTTAACGCACAAAACCATTCTTTATGAATATCAGTATCAAAGGAATCAGATGGTGTCAGAGGGGCTAAGGCAGACTGTCAATTATTCATTATATTGTGGCTAAATTCTATATAAGTAGGTACCAATTTTGCTTATGATTTGCTGAGGTTATAAAGGGCATTTCATTAACCAGCGGTTCCCGATTTTTCATTTTTTTTTTCATTTTTCAAGTCTCGGAATTTTCATTTTTAGTTTTAGAATTGATGTCTGTGGGCACTTGATCTACTTTTGTGAGTATTGGCAGACGCAAATATTGTTTACTTGTCGCAACAAAGATCTGAAGCTGAGAAAAATGACTTAAATTGATGACAAACATTTGAAAGGTGTAGAGGCTTTCAGGCGGTAATATCATTAATACCTAACATTAAATTTCGAATGAGATGATGTGGTCAGTGGTAGAAAACATCTTCAGTATGCGTCATGAACTAATGGACATCACTAATAGACAGACTTGATAACATGACTAAGGCACATACTACTGTATCCCTTCGAGGACGTGAAGATATTACACAGGTAGTTAATCCTTGTTACCGAAGTCCTATTATACACTAACACTTAAACTAGTAATATCTTGGGTAAAGTTACATTGCTATAATAATTTCAGAGACATGAACCTTATCCCTCAGGCAGCTATATATGACTAACCCTGATTTTTTATTTACTTTACTAAAAAAATATAAGTTATTCACACTTGGTAGAAATCAATAGGTCTATATATTATCATGTTTTGTCTCAGCGCTTAAAGGAACTCAAGAAAACAGTCCAGAAACCCCAAAGCGTAGCAACAACAACAGCAACAACAGCAACAACAACAACAGCAACAACAACAGCAACAACAACAGCAACAACAACAACAGCAACAAGAATAACAGCAACAACAACAACAACAATAATAATAACACTGTAAAACAACGACAACAACAATATTTCAACAGTAAGAATAAAACTCACAAATAGTTCGGGCAGTTTATAGAAAATACATAATGACGCCGAGTAATATTTTCTTCCTTGTTAGTCGTATTGGATGATATCAAAGAAGTATTGGTCTCTCATATGTATAAATGTACTGTACCTTAGACGTATTGTGAGTAGAATGAAAGACAAATGAGAATTGAGACAACATATTGCAGTAAAGAAAATATAATAAAAGGGGTATAATTACTTATTTCATATTCACACCTACATTATCTGCTTTAATTAACCTTATATCTGATCTGTATTTCAAAATTTTAAACAAGAGACAATACATAAGGGTAAAAAGCACATATTATTTATTTGTTGACTTTCTGAGTGCATCCCCAGCGGTAGGAGGTGGCCACAGGATCTTTAATTCTTTCGAGAGGCAAAGAAATTTTATCTTTATTTACATTTTTTCTTGTAGTATGTTGTCTGAAGTCTTAATTGTCTTTTATTCTACTTATAGCGTTAATAAGGTACATTTATGCACAACCAAAACCACAAAAGCACATCTCCAACAACAACACAACAGCATTAAAACAAAAACAAAAAGAAACGACAACAAAAGAGAGAATGAAACAAAAATTATGACAACAAAAATACCAGGAACCCAAACAAAGTTACAGCAGCTAGAAAAAACAAACACAGCAGCAAAGGCAGTTACAGTTAAAGAAAGAGCAGTAATAGCAGCGTTATAGCAGCAGACAAATTATAAAAACAGTAACAGCATCATCAATAAAAACAAAAATGCCTTAGCAGCTGCAGTAGCAGTGAGCAACAGCAGCAGTAGCGGTGTCAATAACTTTAACGTCAGCAGCAGCAGCAGCAGTGTCCAGCTGTAACTAAGCAACAGCTTCGATAGGAGCGGCAGCAGTAGTGTCAGTACCAACAGCAACAACAACAGTAGCATCAATAACAACGGCAACAACAACAACAACAACAGTAGCATCAATAACAACGGCACCAACAACAGAAGCATCAATCAACAACGGTAGCATCAATAACAACGGCAGCATCAATAACAACGGCAATAACAACAGTAGCATCAATAACAACGGCAACAACAACCACAACAACAGTAGCATCAATAACAACGGCAACAACAACAGTAGCATCAATAACAACGGCAATAACAACAGTAGCATCAATAACAACGGCAACAACAACCACAACAACAGTAGCATCAATAACAACGGCAACAACAACAACAGTAGCATCAATAACAACGGCAACAACAACAACAGCAACAACAATGTAGCATCAATAACAACGGCACCAACAACAGAAGCATCAATCAACAACGGTAGCATCAATAACAACAGCATCGGCAATAACAACAGTAGCATCAATAACAACGGCAACAACAACCACAACAACAGTAGCATCAATAACAACGGCAACAACAACAGTAGCATCAATAACAACGGCAATAACAACAGTAGCATCAATAACAACGGCAACAACAACCACAACAACAGTAGCATCAATAACAACGGCAACAACAACAACAGTAGCATCAATAACAACGGCAACAACAACAACAGTAGCATCAATAACAACGGCAACAACAACAACAGTAGCCTCAATAACCACGGCAACAACAACAACAGTAGCCTCAATAACCACGGCAACAACAACAACAGTAGCATCAATAACAACGGCAACAACAACAACAGTAGCCTCAATAACCACGGCAACAACAACAGCAGTAGCATCAATTCAACAGCCACAGTGTCGTAGCAGCAGTATCAGTATTAGCAGAAGTCGTATCAATAACAACACCAGTAGCAGTGATGATGACGGTAACATAACAGCAGCAGCAGCAGCAGTCTCTACAGGGTCGGGGTCGGTGACTCGGACCGTAAAACTAAATGAATCATACACTGGAGCGGCTCCCAATTTCCTTCTCTCGCCACAAAATATTCTTTTAGGGATGAGTGTTTGACCTTTCAAGGGGTTCTTTTTTAATCAACGGAACGACCATTTCCTTTACGCGATGGAGGAATTATTGTCTCCTTTTTTTTTACGACTTGTAGGCATAACAAGATAATCTGGCGACGTAAAAGCAAGATCGGCGTCTTCAGTGTCCAAAAGTTCTCTAGCAGGGAAGGAAGAAACAATTTTGTGTGTGGACAAAAAGGCGACCAAAAAGGGGGGGGGGGGCTGTGGGAACCCGGAGGTCAATTTGAGTTGGGGATATCATATGATTTTTCTGTGGGTTCTCAAGAGACGATTTCATATTATTACCTCGTCGTTTATGTGGGGTGCTGCGCTGAGGGAGGGAAAGAGAGTAGGTGATATAATTTAGAATATCACAAACATAACTGTACAAAACTGAGCAGATTATTAACTACAAGGACCCTGGAGGCTGGCCGGACAAAAAACAAAAACAAAACGATTATAGTCTTATGTATGACCATAGAATAAGAATAATAGAATATTAGACCATCTTAGAGTTAAAGAATTTTGTGGGTCTGAGCTGAACTGATTGTGTGTGTGTGTGTGTGTGTGTGGACGCACTAAAACTAGGTGATCGTTAGGCCGATTTTGTTCAAAGTTGGTGCAGTTATTGTGTTCAACTTGAAGAGGACCAATTTGGTGTTTTTATCTAATTTTTTATTTTCACAAACTCTTCTTCACCATCTCCATTACCAGGGACTGTACAACTTTATATCGCTTTATGCCTTCATGGACGCTGCTCTGTATACTGCAGGTAGTACAGTATACCGATTAATTTTTGCCAATTTGTATTTAAGTGGGTCATCTAACAGCGGGTGTCCCAAGTAGAAATGACCCTATGCAGTGGAAAACCTCCCAGCACCACTTACCCTTCCAATATCTCCTCCCTCCCAGCACCGCCCCCTCCTCCCAGCACCGCCCTCCTCCTAGCACCGTCCCCCTCCTGCCCCCTTTCCCAGCACCGCCTCCTCCCAGCACCACTTACCCTTCCAATATCTCCTCCTCCCAGCCCCTCCTCCCTAGCACTGTCCCCCCCTCCTAGCACCGCCCCTTTCCAGCACCGCCTCCCTCCCACTCTCCTTACCCTTCCAATATCTCCTCCCTCCCAGCACGCCCCCTCCTCCTAGCACCGTACCCCCTCCTAGCACTGCCCCTTTCCCCTCGCCTCCTCCACCGCCTCCTCCCAGCACCGCCTCCCTCCCACTGCCTCCCTCCCAGCACTGCCTCCCTCCCAGCACTGCCTCCCTTCCACACCGTCCCCCTTCCTGAATGCCCCTTCTCCTCCCTAACACCCCCTCCTTGTCTTCTTAACCCACATATACATAGGCTGTAAGTACATGCAAATATCTCCCAGCAAGAGTTTTGAACGTTCCTACTGGGTGTCCGATAATAATAGGATGTGCTGAGGTGATTGGCTCCTGAAGTATTGGGGGAAGACCTACACCAGCTGCTCTGCCTTACATGTAAAAAGGAAAGAAAAAGAAGAAAGATGAACTAAAACGCTGGTTTGTTTTTCTTTGCCTGGGGTTGCTGTCTTCGCTTCAGGTTGGGATCAGTTTTGTAAATTATATTAAATGTATTACAAAAAGTATTAATGCTATTCATGAAAAAATATAATCAGATTAATTATATAACAAAATAGATTATTATTATGGTTTCTTTGATTAATGGTAAACGAAATTAGTTTGAAAATGTACGCATTATGATAGTAACATACAGTATATTCATGAAAAGGTAAATTAATATTAAATCTAATTATATTCGTAGAAAGATTAAATGGATTGTTATTAATAGTGACGTGCTTTTAATTATTGCAAAAAGGTGGACTTGTTTTAATGTCTTATGCATCTTCAGTCACTCACCTGTCAGTTCTCTATCATTTTATGCGACTCAAGGACAAGCTGTCCTACTGAGAATGTTGTCTCGGGATCTTGTATTTTATTTTGTCCCATTTTAAAATCTTGCATGCGATTAAATCGAAATTGAGTTTAATAAATGGTTTTCTTTTTCATCCGAAGACAATACGTCAGTAAAATACCATGAAAACAACAGAATGATTCAGAATATGTAGATGGGACTTAATAAATAAATATTATAAAGAACTAAAAAAAAAGACAAACAAATGAAAACTGTGATGAGTGACACAGGTGTAGGAGGCAGGTGTCACTGTAAACTCCTGGCCGCTGAGACTGGTTGTACCGGTTTCCTCATTCTTGTCGGTACAGATGGTCTATAAATTGTAAATTATGAGGAGGGCCACTTCACAAACATGCCTTTGTGTCAACAAACAACTGGGTGACCTTGGCCTTGCAAACTCATGCGTTAGACTGCCCACGAGGACGTCACTCCGGACAGTAATGTACTGCTCGTACTTTTGTTAAGTCTTCTCTCCTCTGCCTTCGTGTTATTTATGTCAGACGCTGTACACTGAGGTGGTGACGACAGTGGCCACCATTTGGTCTTATGAAATTGTCAAACACAACTCAGGTGATACCGTACTATTAATAAACGGTCTTTCAGGTGTTATTGAAATTCTGAATGAGAATGAAGGTTTATAATGACTGTATAAAGAATTAGTATGAATATGGAAAATTTACGAACCCAAGGTTTGTCACGGCTCATTGTTCCCGCTAGAGAATGGGGCTTTGAGTCCCCTGAGAGATAAAATATGTTTTAGAAGAGAATATAATTGGCAGTAGCTGTCGGTTCTTTATTGACTAGATCAGTTTAGGTAAAAGGTTAGGTCAGATTTAGTACAAGGTTTAGAGTAATTCTAGGGCTAGATTATTGTGTAAGGTTAAAGAGCTCATGTCTCTCCTTCCCGGGACTGGCTCCCAGCACTAGGACTGCTCATACACTCGCAAGAACACACCACTCCTCTGCAAGCAGCGTAACAGAGTAGCGCCTACAGCGGAAGCTACACACAGCGAGTTTCTACGGGGGCCTACATGACTCAAGAGACTGTTCCTTTACTTGACTTAATACCGTTGTTAACATGTTGATTGTGGACACCGTGACCAGCAGCAGGAAGGCCGTCTCCACCAACGAACACTTGGTCACCGGCTGGCAGCTGTAGATGGATCGTCCGAGTGGAATGAGGATGGCTGCCCGACCACAGTCCACCATTGCCTGATGGAACAATAGACCTTGCGACCACCTGTGGACATAACAGAAAAGTTTCCATGTTAGTGAAATTATATGGGATTCCTAAATTTTTATGTATAGGCTGTGCAAGATTAGAGATAAGAATTGTTAGCTTCACTTTTTAGGAAAATACTGGAAGTCTTCTATCCTCGACAGTGATAAGAGGGAGGACTGGAGGTCGATGTCACCATGCCTGGAAGAATTGATGGTTATTGCCTCCATCTGTGGGGCGGAGAGAAAGAAGGTCAAGGGTAGCTGTCTCCATCTGGTGGGATACTCCAGGTTCTTGTCACCATAGGTAGAGATATTTTGGTCATCTTTCATCTGTTAAAAGATTGGGAGATGCACAGAGAGGATAAAGAACAACTCAGTCAGTGTGATAACGAGGAAAATATTTATTATGATGGATTGGATGATTAAGGAAATATTACTGATCGGTGTAAGTTTGGTATAGGTGACGTGTACCTGAGAATGATGGTAGGAGTAGCGGGAGTAAAGTCATTGGAATATTATCACCATATATCTGTTAGTACCAAGAGGAATACATAAAATTTTCACTGATCTAGAAAATTAAGAAAATGTCATTGTGATCATGTATCGTAAATCATGATCACATAGAGTTATAAGTATCAGAACCTTCTCTTCATGAATAAGGGTACAGTGTCTGGATTCAAGAACAACACCGAGCCTCCCTTACTTGTTGATATTCAGTCTCTGTAACTGCCCTAGTAGAAGTGTTCAGATATCACGTTCCCAGGATATCTTTTCAGCTTACCTCTGTCTTTCCATTCAATTACCCAATATTACGCTAGTCTCCGAAAAGCTTGTTGACGCCACAGTAGTAAACAAAACCATTTTTTTTACAACAATGAAAAATAAAGTATTACACTAAACGACAGATACTGACAAAAAATGGCAGAACTTTTCCGTGAAATATATAAAAACGAATTATTTATTTTTATACGATGTTAATGATAAACCAATCAGAAATATGAATTTCTAAGTCATTCTTGTTCTCCGACTAAAAAGCGTCTCACGTGAGCCCATATCTTGTCACTGGTAAATAAGTCTCAATTTTTTTCTTTTCTTTTGTGAGGCGAAGAGGGCGAACACCAGGAAGACGACCAACAATAAGAGAGGCGGTGCTCGTGTTGTATGGCGGCATGACACTAATCTCAAAGGAAATTGCAGGGCTTTGTTGAAGCAGAGAAAAGAAGTGCGTCATATGGAGGGATAAAGAACAGGGAAGGGGACAGGGAATCATGTCATATAAGTGGCTGGGAGATAACCTGGCAAGTGCTGTAAAATGGTGACGTAAAGAGTATGTCTTATTGATGGTAGCAATGTGGAAAGTTCATGTATTGCCCTTAGTATATTATAATTTATTGTTTAACAGTGTATATCACACACACACACACACACACACACACACACACACACAGCGTATGTATATATCCTTATGAGGCTGCCAGTCTCATCACATGACAAAGACGTACCTCCCAGCCTAACTCTGGACAGCGGTCCTCCTCAAGATGTGGGAAAGACCGCAGCATAACCCTAGAGGCGGACCTTACAGAAACATGATAAATGATCTGACGGAGGGAGGAAGAACCCCCACGGGAAGAAAGGCTAAACATCTGTTCCAAAACCCCGACCATGCCACACTGTTGAGAAGCATTAGGCCTCGCCCTCAACCTTAACACTTCCAAGAGGGAAATCAACTCTGCTGAAAAGAACACGACGAGACGAGCGAGGAACGCCTTGCTAGACACTTACAACTCATCATTACCTTTATCACACCTGTACACAACAAACTACCGCAACGGAAGCTCAAACAACAGCGTAGAGCACTCAGAGGTAAGTGTTCCTCTATTGTAAATTAAATCCACAGCTCGCTCTAACACTGTACGGAAGAATTGCTACTTAAATATTACTGAGCGAGTGGCGTGACACCTGACAATAATTTCTTACATTTCAGGAGAGGTTTACCTTTTTTTTCAATCATAGTAACCCCACTCAAGGCTTTTCCATTGTCTTCAAATAGCTGCCATTAGCCACTATCTGTCCTGGAACCTTGAAATGTCTCCTTCCAGCCGCGGCCCACGAGATACCATCGCATCCCAGCTACAGATTTACGAGAGCCAATAATGGAGGTCCTCCTGGAATATATTTGGCTATACCATTCCAATTTCGGGAAATATTTTTGTTCTCTGACCAGGGATCAAACCAAGAGATCTAGGTTATTGAGACTCATGCATATCAACTGAATTCAACATTCCTACACTACATCTGTTTGTATCACACTGGGACAGAACCATGATAAGATTTACGTTCGTGTTTATAGAGAAAATAAAATAAAGTTTTTAGATCAGCCGACAAATTCCCCCAACACTTAATCCAAGGTATAATGATCCTTTGCGTGTTGTATCGGCGACCGAACTTAATTTTCTCTTACGATTTTGCTGTCATTTTTATAAAGGGAATTATCGCTGGAGTTTTACGTAAAGATATACCAGTTTAGATTTGGTTAAGTTGGCTTATATTAAGGTTTGGTTAGGTTATAGTTAGGTTAAAGTTAGGTTAAGGATTAGGTTACTTTAGGTACTATTAGTTTGATTTAGGATTAAGTTAAGGTTAAATTGATTTAAGGTAGTTTTTCGATAGTTTAAAGTTTATTTCAGTTTGGTAAAATTGAGGATAGGTTCAATTAAATTTAGATTAAGTTTGGTTAATGTTAAAGTCAGGTTAATATATAGTTAGATGAAGTTAGAGCAAGTGAGATTGAATTAGATTATACCAGGTTAGGTTGAATTAGATGAAGATTAATGAGGATCATGTTAAGCCTAGATTATGCTTGGTTAGATTATGCTATATTACGGTTTTGTTTAAGTTAAGGATAAGTTAAGGTTAAGTTGAGATTATAGTAGGCTAATGTTAAGTTAGATTAAGTTGCTATTAAAATCGATTAAAGTTTGTTTAGATTGGGAGAGGTTAAGGTTGCGTTATATTTGGCTTCTATTTGGTTAAGGTTAGGTTAGTTTAAGGTTGGGTTAGGTTTTAAGTAGTCACTATGCCCTTGACAAGCTTTTACCCCTACCGAAGCGTTCACGGTTACACACACACACACACACACACACACACACACACACACACACTTATATGAGAGAACTCATAGTAAACAACAATACAATTGGTTTACTCTATTAGGATATAATCTCAACTTCTTTTATATTAATTCTTTAATTTACTTACAATGAGGTTAAAGATTATTGAAATTTAACTCAAATCTAAATATCATCGATTTCCTTCAGCTTCTCAGAGTCAGTGCGACGGCCAAGAATGCAATTGCATCTCGCCCCTGGATTTGATCCTAAAAACCTGAAACAAGCGACTGTTTGCTCTTGGTTTTTGGTCGTTTCAATCAGCCTTGATCCAATTTGAAGAAATCGGTCATTTTTTGCCTCATGGGACACGCGATCCAGTATTGATATATAAATACATTTAAGTGTTTATTTTGTTACGTTTTGGTGAAGGCAGGTATCGAGTGAAGTAGAAGTACACAGGTAACCAGCTGTCCGCCATTTTTACCATTTACCTTGTAGGAACACTTTAAGGAATTGTCAGGCCTGATAAAACACAGTTCTCTTTCTTCTGGACTTCGGGATGTAGATACGATGCTGTTGATGATGTGTGGGGCTATAGGCGTCCAGTAGAGCCATACCGGTTCGCTCTCTTCTTTCAATAAAACAACTGAGAAAGTGATACAAAAGACTTTAGAATTGAGTCCGAGATTTAGGTTTGTTAGAGGAAAGTCCACGACATAGGGACAGATTACAGCTAGAAGTCGAACAATCTCTTGTCCTGGTGGCGCCGTTACAGCTGGGTTACTTATGAGCCTTTGTCAAAGCTGGCCCAGGCGGATCTCTGGCTGCAGCACTCCAGAAGCGTTCCTCAGTGTCTCAGGAAATATTTTAACCAACAGCACACTGACTGAAGCGGTTGACGACAAGTGCGTTGGTTGTGTGCGACTGTGTGGACACCTTAACCCCATCTCTCACAGAGACATACTTTAGCTTACTCTCTATCTTTCTCTCTGAATTTTCCAAGAAGTTTAGGGGGTTCTTTCCAACACGGACGTATGCAGAACTTTGCATTCACTTTGAGGCTTTTGAAAGAGGATGAATAGATAGCCCCCCCCAAGCAAGTTAGCTTAAGTCTGGGTAGCTACCTGGTGAGGAAGTCGAGGTATCATATCTATACAAAATTGTGTTGAAAAAATATGACCCAACGGACGAAGAATTTTGACAACCCTACCGAGACAACAGCAGTCACAGTGTTCATTTTGAAATTCATCGATCACCCCACAAAGAGGTCGTTTTTTTGAGTGACTGTACTAGCTGTATTATTAATCATTTTGCTTATATACTAAATTTTTTCTACATGATCAATCCCATTTGGTGTCATGATAAGTAATTTATTTATTATGATTTTCCAATAGCTCAGTTGTTCATCCATGAAATGAGATGTCAAAGGTACTGTGTCATGTGAGGGAAATTTTTACTCTATTTTAGCTAACTGCTGTATGGGTTTAACTCTGTGTTAATTTCTGGGCTTTATATTGCACTAGAATTATAGGTATATGTTACAAGCTATAATTTGTGACAGGATTCAGGGATAAAATTTTCCAGTACAGTTTCTTTCTCTGGTAATCAATTCTGAAGCATCTTTAAATCTCTTATATCATATTGCATTATTTGACTCGATTATTACTTCCCATGTTAAGGATTAGAATTTTATTGTTTTTGATATTCTGTTTAACAACCCACGTTCTTCTCTGTGTACTATCAATCCACGCTCTTCTATGTGTACTACCAATCCACGTTCTTCTCTGTGTACTATCAATCCACGTTCTTCTCTGTGTACTACCAGTCCACGTTCTTCTCTGTGTACTACCAATCCACGTTCTATTCTGTGTACTATCAATCCACGTTCTATTCTGTGTACTATTTTTCA